GAAAAAGGGAAACGTGAAGAGGGGATAAGACGAGAGAGAGGAAAAGCAAAGGTGGAGATAGATATGCACACACACACACACACACACACACACACACACACACACACACACACACACACACACACACACACACACACACACTTAAAACCATAACTACCACTAGGATATTAAACACACCTAACTACCTAACTAGTTGTCCACCTAACTACCAGACACGGGTAGTTACCCCCACTAACTACCAAACTACTACCCACTAACAAGCGGCGAGTCTCACTACATTAACACCTGTAACATTAATTCTTAGTCTGAATCTTAAGCTAAATATAAACCCCCCCCTTATAACCAACCCAAGAATCAGTAGTTTCAAAACTACCACAGATGCTGGTTTAATATAAACTCCCATGTGTGTATACCCACATAAATCCTAATTAACAAAACTCATCAGAAAACAAAACATGAATGAACCCAGGTCTGTGAATGAAGCTAACACGTGCTGTTTGTTTACTATGCCGGCGTGCCTAGTAAAGTTGAGGGGAAGCACGTGCTTGTCACGTGGTTCGCTTAATGTAAACATTGTGATATCTGGGGTTCATAGAGTGAGTAATTAACGTGATTTGGATCAAGTTAAGGGTTAATTTTCGTTTGTGTATAGGTGTTTGGTGATGATGGATTGGGATTCAAGGAAGGGAAAACCACGTTTTATACAGTGAAGAAAGTTGAAAAAATGCAAAACCAGGAAGAAGGAAAACGTAGATAGTGTAAGAAACGGAAATAAGAGAACGTTCTTAGTGAAGAAACCAGAATAAAAGACCATTCTTAGTGAAGAAACCAGAATAAAAGACCATTCTTAGTGAAGAAACCAGAATAAAAGACCATTCTTAGTGAAGAAACTAGAATAAAAGACCATTCTTAGTGAAGGCAACTGCGTTATGTGGCAAGAATGAAAGAGACAAAAATAACGATCAAATAAGGAAGGAAATGTTGATAGAAATGTGAATGTGAGAATAAAAGAAGTGAAAACAGAGACAGCAGGAAAATGAGTACCAGTAGAGAGAAGAAGAGGCAACAGGAGCCAAGTCTCTACAGTGTTGTCTTACGGTAGTGTGGTGGTAGTGTGGTGGTAGTGTGGTGGTGGAGGTATGGTGTGGTGGGCCAAGAGAGTGAAGCCATGGCCACCCTCACCTTCAGAAACATCTTCACCTTCAGAAGGCCATCCTCACCCATCTTCTTCAAGACGTGAGTAGACCTTGTCTTAAACAACCAGTCTTAACAACCAGTCTCAGTGCTTCTCTCTCTCTCTCTCTCTCTCTCTCTCTCTCTCTCTCTCTCTCTCTCTCTCTCTCTCTCTCTCTCTCTCTCTCTCTCTCTCTCTCTCTCTCTCTATCCTACAAGTTTACTAATATTGTAATAAGAGGAAGTATCACTATGTCTTTAGAATATTCAATGATATTCACACAGAATATAATAGTTGACGTTACGAATTTGGGGCTTGGCCCTCAGTTTTCTATGGGAGGAAAACGGGCAGAATTTATTGTGTTTTATGGGACTACGGCCTTAGTTTGAATAGCTAGAAATTTATGTTAATTTTCCCGAGATCAATGAATAATGGTGTATATATATAAGAAGAATAAATCTGTTTTGAATTATTTTTTTAAATATTTAGTAGTTGTACCTTGTGGGGCAAAAATCATCGTTATCTTGAGATAATTTCGGGGCTTAGCGTCCCCGCGGCCCGATCCTCGAGCAGGCCTCCTTTTTTGTTACGCACTCCCAGGAAGCAGCCCGTAGCCGCTATCTAACTCCCAGGTACCTGTTTACTGCTAGGTAACAGGGGGCATCAGGGTGAAAGAAACATTTTGCCCATTTGTCTCCGCCTCCACCGGGGATCGAACTCGGAACCTCAGGACTACGAATCCGAAGCGCTGTCCACCCAGCTGTCAGGCGCCCCCAATCGTTGGGGTGTGTGAGAAATCATCTTTTGGAGTCTGAATATGACTTAAGAATTATGGCGACCCCACAGCATACTATCTTGAGGTTATCTTGAGATGATTTCGGGGCTTTAGTGTCCCCGCGGCCCGGTCCTCGACCAGGCCTCCACCCCCAGGAAGCAGCCCGTGACAGCTGACTAACACCCAGGTACCTATTTTACTGCTAGGTAACAGGGACATAGGGTGAAAGAAACTCTGCCCATTGTTTCTCGCCGGCGCCCGGGATCGAACCCGGGACCACAGGATCACAAGTCCAGCGTGCTGTCCGCTCGGCCGACCGGCTCCCTATACTAGCATAAACAAATAACAAATGTTCATGAAGAACAGAATTATAAATAACCAAAACATGTTCACAAAATGAACAAGCAACACGCGAACAAATATATGAACATTTAAGACAACAGTGAATTTTTTTAAAGAAAAAAAACAACATTCCTGTTGCCTTAAAAAAAAAACAGAGGCAACAGGAAGCGAAAGTTTATTAAAAAAAAATCCAATAGGAGGTTTTGGGGAAAGAGAGTTGTCAGGGGTGAGGTAATGGGGTGATATATTTGGCTGTGGTGGTTGGTCCGGGGCTCTCATGTCCCAGCTCTCACCCTCACCAAAAAAAAAAAAATGATGGTGTACTTTTCTATCCCCCTTCTCACCCCTCTCTCCCCCCCCAGCACCCTTCCTTCTAGAGGAAGGAAGGGTGCTGGCACCTCTAGAGGTGCCAAAAGTACGAAGCCCACTACCACACCTAAGAGGCCACAACCATGGATCTGCACGAGGTCAACCAAGTCCCGTTGTTAAGTCCCGGGGCACGGTACCAAGTCCAGAGGCACGGTACCACGTCCCGGGGCACGGTACCAAGTCCCGGGGAACGGTACCACGTCCCGGGGCACGGTACCAAGTCCCGGGGCACGGTACAAAGTCCCGAAGCAGCGTTGCCAAGTCCTGGGATGAAGAATAGCAAATATTCTAATGCCTTCAATGAGAAAATACAAGAATAAAATTATCGGTTAAGTTTGTGTAGTTAAGATTTTCAGGATCCTCCTTTTCCCTTTTCCCCTCGTTCGTTCCCCTTAACCTTTCCCCTCATTCTTCCCCTTACCTTTCTCCTACCCACTTTCTCCGACTCTCCCTCCCACTTCTCCAACACCACTTACGTAGCGCCGCCCCATTGCTACACGCGTGCATAGGGCCGCTAAGAGCGTATGCACGCGAAGAATTAATACATCATACATATCAAGGATCGTCATACAGCAGATGTAGATAATGGTGTATTAGCATATATTAGAAGTCGAGGGTGAGAGCGTTGTATTATATCTGAATGTATGTATCATATCCCCCCCCGGTAGCGCTGTATGTGTATGCAGGTGGGTGGGGGGGGGGAGGGGTATGTATAACGTCCCTATTGATTATGGGGACAAGGGGTTAGAGGTCAAATGTTGGCCGCGGTGCTTGACCCCTTTTGTTTTTGACCCATGTTTCCGGCTCCCTCTACGGTCCTCTTGGCTTCAGAGAGAGAGAGAGAGAGAGAGAGAGAGAGAGAGAGAGAGAGAGAGAGAGAGAGAGAGAGAGAGAGAGAGAGAGAGAGAGAGAGAGAGAGAGAGAGAGAGAGAGAGAGAGAGAGAGAGATTATAAATGTAACTCTTCCTTGGATCAGTGTGTGTGTGTGTGTGGTGGGAAGGGGGTGAAAGAGGCATGGGGTTGTGCGTGCATCAGTGCATACGTGAGGGCGTGCATCAGTGCATACGTGAGTGCGTGCACGTTCGTTGTTCCTGGCTAGTTCTAACATACACCACACCCCTTAGGACACAAGGGGTTCAGCCTTCAGGTAGTCTTCGGGCAAGATTCTTGAGAGATCTTGAAGTTGAGTCGTGTGCAACACGATAAATGTACAGAGGCCTCTTGTGTGCGCTGCCACACGCACCTTTGTTCTCACCTCTGTGTTGCCTGCACATGTAATTATTCACAGGAACTTTGTCCTCATATGGTCTGAGATCTTATATATTCACAGGAACTTTATCCTCATATCAGCCTCCAAGCTATTAGGGTCTTCTGGGTATTAACTAATCTTTCATCCCAGATTTTGCGTGGAAGATGTGATCCTTGACAGGTTTCCGGTACCTGTGTGTGTGACCTGTCAAGAGGCCGCAGGCGCCTCTGTGACCTCTTGACGGGGAAGAGAAGTGCTTGGAGGAGGAGGGAGGGGGCAGGGGGCGGGGGGTGAGGAGTCAACTCATTCGTAAATATTGGACAAGAAAGTGGAATTTTCAAGTGTAGCGAGATGAAGGAAAGGAAGATATGGAAGGGCGAGATGGAGGAGACGGGATGGATTTTCAGGAATGGAGGAAAGGAATGAAAAGAGAGAGGGGGGGAGGAGTGTAGTCGACTTAGAGCCAAATAGGACAAGAAGAGGACACGATAACAAGGGAAAAGTATGAGGCGGTGGACGTAGAGGAGCAGCAGCAGCAGCTGGAGTAGGAGCAGCAGCAGCAGCTGGAGTAGGAGCAGCAGCAGCTGGAGTAGGAGCAGCAGCAGCTGGAGTAGCAGCAGCAGCAGCTGGAGGACTTCGTCGTGAAGGAGGAGGTGGAGGAGGACTGAGAATCAGAGGCGGGACCGGGCTTGGGGCGGGCGGGGAAGAACTCACAGATCTTCCCCATCCAACCAGGAGCAAATAAATGAAAAATATTAGTTGAACCACTTAAGATGTGTCAGGCGTCCTAATGCAGCCCTTGACGAGGTGGAGAGAGGAGGAGTGGGGGGTACATGTGGCCCCAGGGTGGGGGGGGGGGTACATGTGGCCCCATGTTGGGGGGTACATGTGGCCCCAGGTGTGGGGGGGTACATGTGGCCCCAGGGGGGGGGGGGTACATGTGGCCCCAGAGAGAGAGAGTGAAGAAAGGGTATTGATTATGTCTATAGACGAATACTGTGTATATGTGAATGATACACAGTATTCATCTATAGACACCTATATGTATGTTGAGATACATATGAAACAAACTTGACAAGAGAGAGCAAGCTTAGCTTAGCTGCCCAAAATTATACACGCCGTGTCAGCAAGGCGGACAGCCCGCCTGCTTTCATAACACATGCACTATATTTCCTTTTCCAAACTATTCCTTTTGCCTGTGTTTTTCATCATTTTTACTCTCAAAAGGGGGGCAGACTTTTTTAGGGTGGGGTTGTTTAATGTTTGTTTCTTAGTGAGTTTCTTGAGATGATTTCGAGGCTTAGCGTCCCCGCGGCCCGGTCCTCGACCAGGCCTTCTTTTTCTTACCCCCCCCCCTCCTAGGAAGCAGCCCGTAGCAGCTGTCTAACTCCCAGGTACCTATTTATAATCCGGACTACAAGAGATCGTTAATGCTCTCTTACACACACACACACACACACACACACACACACACACGCACGCACACGCACACACTGTGTGTGGTTTTTTTGTCACACATTTGTCATTCATAATTTTAATACTAGATATGATAGGGAAATAGGACCGGAGTCATTGCTATAAACAACCGAGGGCTAGAAAGGCGGGATCCAAGAGTCTATGCTGGATCCCACAGGCACAAATATTAGGCGAGTACAAATAGGTGAGAACACACAAAAGGGATCAGGAGGCAGAAGGCTGTCAGCCCGAAAAAAGGAAATTGCGAGGAAATGAGATAATTTATATGAGGACAGAACCCCCCCCCCCCCGACAACTTGCCATGAAGGACCACTTCACCCAAAAGTATCTGGGACGTTGTGCACAAGTTTCCCCTCAGTTAAAAAATACAATAGAAGGCATAGCATTATCCCATGATTTAGCCTAGAGTTTAGAACATAAGAACATAAGAACAAAGGTAACTGCAGAAGGCCTATTGGCCCATACGAGGCAGCTCCTATCTATAACCACCCAATCCCACTCATATACATGTCCAACCCACTAATGAAGCAGTTCGCTATAGAATGAACATAACTAAAGCTCTAACGGTGAACAAATGAATAAATGAACGACAAAGAACGGAGAGAGGTGCCAGATGGCCAGAAATGAGTACCTCTGAGTCAGAAGAGAAGCGGAGAGGCTTTGAGAATGATATAGCTGATAAAGGAAGATCAAACCAATCTGCTCCTTTAGGGAGCCGGTCGGCCGAGCGGACAGCACGCTGGACTTGTGATCCTGTGGTCCTGGGTTCCATCCCAGGCGCCGGCGAGAAACAATGGGCAAAGTTTCTTTCATCCTATGCCCCTGTTACCTAGCAGTAAAATAGGTACCTG